TCTCCATAAGTCAGAAACAACTTGAAGGGACACATCAACAACACATGGGATCAGTGTGGCATAGTGGTTTAAGTGTTAGGCTACGACTCTGGAGATCAGGTTAAATTCCTTGCCATGAAACCCTCTAGGTGACCTTGGTCAAGTCACACTCTCTCAGCCTCAGGAGAAGGCCAAGGCAAACCTCCTCTGAACCAACTCTTGCCAAGAAAACCCCATGATAGGTTCACCTTAGGTTCGCCATAAGTCTCAAATGACTTGAAGGCACACAATGACAACAGCAAACTAGACAAGGGGCCAGCAGCCCAACTTTAAAGAATCCAAGGTTGATGGTAAAACAGGAGCATCCTTATTTAAAAGCCTTTATGTCTCGCCTCTTGACACACCAGGACTGCCAAGGTGATCCACCATGGATAAAAACATTTATAATATTTAGTACATGAATAAAAGGGTTATAGTGTATCGGATAGATCCCATGCTAGAGGAGTGATTGTAAAAGGATGGATAGCTTGACATCTTGGTACACATTCTTGCTCTGTGGAACATGACAGTAGGGAAGAGTACTTGGCAATAGTTCCCAAAAAATAGTCAAAGGAAATGTTTTTCAAGCATTGGGAAACTCTGGTGAGAAGAATCCTGGATTGATGGGAGTATTTGCAGTTTGGAACTTTATTCTGTACAAAATTCACAAGTTTTATTTTTCCATGCAGAAAATGCTGACACCCGTGCAAAAATGCCACATACAAATTTTGCACAGAATAATCCTATACCATGAATAGTCTTCAAAAATTGTACAATTTTTGAAGACTTTCTTGTAGCAGGAAGAAAACTGCTAAAAAAAAAAATCCTGTTGCTTCCTTCAAGAATGATATTAATGGAGAATTGCATCCCTAGCTGACAGCAACACAGACACAGGATGCAAAAGGCTAGAGAATCCCATTGGAAAAGAGACAAATGTGCATATTGACCACACTTCTTTGTTGTTGCTATGCACCTTCGAATCATTTATGACTTACGGTGGCCCTATCACAGGGCTTTCCTGGCAAGATTTGTCCAGAGGAGTTTTGTCTGAGGCTGAGAGAGTCTGACTTGCCCAAGGTCTCTCAGTGGGCTGAGCGGAGATTCGAACCCTGGTCTCCAGGGTTATAATCCAGCACTCAAGCCACTATACCACACTGGCTCTCTTTGCAGCTGAGCTAGTAACTAAGCCTTAGGAGAGGCATTCCAACTTTTCAAATGAAGGGTGGAGCGATGTATAAAACCAACAGAGAGGGAAACCAACATAAGTAAGGAGCAATGCCCATCTTGAAAAACCCAGAGGGCCAGATTGGGAGCCCAGGAGGGTCCCAGAGTCCAAAATCCCCCAATGCTGATCCAAAGGGTCCCATTTATCCAGTAGAAGTTCACAGGTGAAACTTATTCAGCTAAAAATAAGTTTCCAACCTAGCTACCTGCCTACGAATCCCATACAAGCAATCCATTTTTACTAAATAAAGTACTCTGTGTGCCATGTGTCCTTGTTAATAAACAAACAGGTGTACGCATGCATCTGTGTGTGTGTGCATGTGTGTGTATGCACTTTGGATAGCTATAATTACTCCGTGCATATACGAAACCGCTGCTATAAACATGGCCATGAGAAAAACACACCTACACAAACTGGAGATGTAAAGACAAGAATACAACAAGGTTGTTGGAGGCTGGCATTCTTCCAAGGCATTTCTCCATTCGTCCATTTCCCAAGACAGTTCCCACCCTTTGTGCCATGCCTGGGGAACTCGTGATGGCTGATCCGCCTTCCAAAAATGAAGAAGCCAGCACTATGCATGGAGCGCACTGCTTCAAAGCCAACGGCCAGGCAAACAGCTGGCCAAGAAAGAGGGACACATTTTTCAGTTGTTTGCTTTTCCTAGGGAAAGGAGACACGCGTTCTCATTCCTCTAGTGGGAATTGGGAAGGAGGTGGGGGAAAAAGAGAGATATCTTTCTGGACAGTAAAATATTCTGCCCTAAAAGGAATCCATGCACATTGAAAAGTGAAGCAGGGGAGGCAGGTGACATGCTGAGCAACCACAGAGAAGAGAGACTGAGGAAACTGATTCCACAGAAGGTTCAAGCATGTCTCATCATGGGGTTTTCATGGTAAAAGTCATTCAGAAGTGGTTTACTGGGGCCTCCTTCTGTGCAGTAATAACAAGAGCTAGATCCTCCAACAGTGTCTTTTTCTCGTTCTCACACACACGCCCCACACAACTACTGCTACCCAGTACTCCAGCAAGGCTATACCATGGACCACCAGAAAGACAAACCAAGGAGACCTAGACCAAACCAAGCCTGAACTCTCCCAAGAAACCAACATGACTAAATTGAGGCTACTTTGGACACATCATGAGATGATGTGACTCATTAGAAAATACAGTTGGCCCTCTGTTTTCGCAGGGGATCCATTCCAGACCCTCCGTAAAAATGGAGATTTGCAAATATTCAAGCTCCATAGGCTTGAATGGGGTGCACTCCATTGATTTAAACAGAGGTTGCCCCTCTGTGAATATGCAAAACTGCGGACTTCGATTTCGCAAGAAGGGAGGGGCAACTGTATAATAATATTTGGTAAAGCAGAAGGCAGTAAGCAAAGAGGAAGGAGCTCAAATGAGGGAAGACATTGTTGCCCCGGGTTTGCAAGATCTGAGCAAGTTTGCTGAAACTAGAATATCTTGGAGGTTTCTCATTCACATTGTCAAGAGAAGATCTGATGCTCGAGCAGATCACCCAAGGCTGAACTAAGTACTCTCCCAAAGGGAACGTTTAACAGGTTGCTCCTCTGAGACACCCCCCAGAATCCCAGTCAGCAATGGATCCAATGGAGCTGGCCAGTTTCAGGGCAGGTTTGCTTGCATGCTTCAACCGCCCAAGTGTCAAGAGGAGAAGGCTTGCGACAGAGAGCGGCACACTCAACTGCACATTAGAAAGACAAGCATCGATCCATGTGAACACACACCCTCCCGATGCGCACACACCCTGCACACACTTCTAACGACAGCGCACTGACCTCAATAGCACATGTGCCAACCAGGACTGCCCTGATCAATTCTCTTATTTAATCGCTCTGTTGTTGTTGTTGTTGTTGTTGTTGTTGTGTGCCTTCAAGTCATTTCCAGCTTATGGCAGTCCTAAAGCAAACCTTTCACTGGGGTTTCTTGGCAAGATTTGCTCAGAGGAGGCTGAGAGAGTGTAACTTGCCCAAGGTCACCCAGTGGGTTTCCATGGCTTAGCGAAGATTGAACTCTGGTCTCCAGAGCCATAGTCAAACATTCAAACCACTATACTATGCTGGTTCTCCCATCTGGTTTTATAATTCATCAATTAATATATACATAAAGGTTGAATTTCCCTTATCTAGAAATCCAAGATCTGAAATATTCCAAAACCAAAAGCTTTTTTCATGAGTGGCTGAGATAGTCCAGTTGCTTTCTGATGGTTCAGTGTCCCCAAACTTTGTGTCATTGATATAATTATTAGAAATGTTATATGTAAGTTTATCTTCAGCCTGCATGTATAAGGTGTATATGAAAAATAAATGAATTTCATGTTTAGACTTGGGTCCAGGATGGGATGCAAAAATTCCGAAATCCAAAAATGTGTATGCAACAATTCCAAAATCCAAAAAATTCCAAAATTCAAAACACTTCTGGTCCCAAGCATTTTGGATCAGGAAGACTCAACCAAAATTTATTTTTTTTGGAGTGGGGAAAGTACCCATTAAACCACAGTGTTAAACAGATGTCAGCAGAAATATCTAAATATCCAAACACAGCAGATTTAAAAAAAATAAATACATAAATATGGGCCACAGAAGAGGCAAAAGGGATGGCCTCTCCACCAGGGGAGTCCTATTTTTAAACAAATTACTTGTGATTTCTTTTTCTGCATGTTTTCCACCACCATCACCTCAAAACTCTCTTTTTCCAGAATCGAGGCCCTTGTAGTGCTAATTCCATACAAGCCTTTATCTTTTGAGAGAGGGGAAGGGGGTGAAATAGTCCATGCAGAACGGGATATAGATATTGGGATGTGTCCAAATGAGGACATTGTCTTCATTTCTGCCCCTCTCCCCAGCTTTATAGCATTGCAATATTTTAAATTGTTCATGCCAAAAAACTCTTCTGCTTGGTGCATTCCCATTATAATTCTTATTTGGGCAAGGCAGCAACTTCATTTCTCTCCTGGTTTTGGTCACTTTCCCTCCCCTTTTTTCTTTGCAAGCCCCATCTCTATTTCTAAAGGTTCCAATAGTTTTAAATTCTTGCAATGCTAGAAATCTGGAGACAGAAGGAACATTTCAATGGGTGTGTGTGTCGGGGGGTGGGGGGCACAGATTTATTTTATTTTATTTTATTTGGAGGACCATGTCTTCGTTGCCCTCCACTCCAGATCCAGCCCTTGCCCTGGAGGGTGTGTGTGTCTATGTCTTGGGGTAATAGTGGGATTAAAAGTCCATGGGGAGAGGAGGGGAAGAGACGGTAAAATTAAAACATCTTTACAGAGGGTGATGGTGGTTTCATAAACAAGAGTGCGGCTGGAATTCAACGCGGCTGTTTTTGAGCATCTACGCATCTCCTCCCTCCCTTCCTCTCTGTTTCTCCCAAGCAGGCAGGCAGGAAGGGAGAGAGAGAGAGAGAGAGAGAGCGAAAAATATATTAATATTTCATGATGACAAACTTGGCTCGCTGTTCACTGTACATACTGTACCCGCAAAGCCGGCAGCCAGCCATCCGTGCCGCTGGCGGAGGGCCAAAACGACAACAACAAACAGAGGCAGCGTGTGCCAGAGAAGGAGATGGAGGAGGAGGAAGGCCGAGGGGGAAAACACAGCTGAGATGCATGCTTGGGTACATGGCCTCCCAACACCAACACCAACACCAACGCGATGCTTTCGGACATGGCTAGGGGGACATTGGCTGGCAAGACCCCCTTTTTGAAAAAGATACACCTGCACAGAGAGAATTCAAAGGTATAGCCATGCTAGTCTGTAAAATCAGTATGTATGTAAAGAGGTCTTGTGGCCCGTTGAGACTCAATGAAAGAAAGACTGTGAAGGCGAAGGCTTTCGCAGCCAGCATCCATAACTTTGGGGTTGTTGTTTTTTGGGCAATGTGGCCATGTTTTGGAAAAAGTTATTCCTGATGTTTCACCTGCATCTGTGGCTGGCATCTTCAGAGGTGATGCCAGGCACAGATGTAGGCAAAATGTCAGGAATGAATTCTTCCAGAACATGGCCACATAGCCCAAAAAAACTCACAAAAAACTATGAAAGTTGGCAGCATGGGGTTTGATAGACTTGAGTCTACTTCCTTAGATGTAATTGGTGGAGTAGAAAGCCAGGGACAGACCTATATATGCCTTTAGTGTGTTCCATGCACAAAGGATTTTGATTTTGAATTTACATTCTCACACACTAATGGCATTTATAGGTCTGTCCCTGGCTTTCCACTCCACCAAATGCATCTGAGGAAGTAGACTCAAGTCTACGAAAGCTCATGCTGTCAACATCTTTCTTTCAGTTAGTCCCAAAGGTGCAACAAGATCTCTTTACATACACAAAGAAAGAAAGAGAGAGAGAGAGTCCTTTTTCCTACTTGTTCTTCTCTTTCATGGCTTCCTTGATGGAGTCTATCCACCTGTAATGTGGTCCTCCTCTTTCTCTATTGCTTTCTATCTTACCAAGCATCATTGTCTTTTGTAGGGAGTTATGTCTTCTCCTGATACATCCAAAGTACAACAGCCTCAGTTTAGACATCTTGGCTTCTAAGGAGAGTTCAGACCTGATTTGCTCTAGGAGAAGGTTAAAGGTGATATGATGATAGCCCTGTTTAAATATTTGATGGGATGTCATGTTGAGGACAGAGCAAGTTTTCTGCAGTCCAGAGACTAGGACATAGAGTGATGGATTCAAACTACAGGAAAAGAGATTCCAGTTCAACATTAGGAAGAACTTCCTGACAGAAAGAGCTGTTCAACAGTGGAACATATTCCCTTGGATTGTGGTTGAGTCTCCATCTTTGGAGGCTTTGAAACAGAGGCTGGGTGGTCATCTGTCACAGGGATGGCTTTGATTGTGAGTTCCTGCATGGCAAGGGGTTGGATTGAATGGCCCTTGGGGTTTCTTCCAATTCTATGATTC